GAGATCAGCCTTTTCCCATATCCATTTAGGAATATTGCCATGAATGCTATTCTTTGATAACAGTAGGCTTTGCAGACCATCTGAATGTCTTAAGAAATTGGGGAATTTACTCAAGTTACAAGAAGACAAGTCAAAATAAGCTAGTTTGGGTAATGTGAAGTTGGCATCGACATTGACTCTCAGAGAAAGATTATTGTATGAAAGAATGATGGATTCCAGATTTTGAAGCCTCGAGAACATGTCAGATACTACTAAATCACTAAAATGATTTGATGATAAATCAAGATAACTAAGATTTACTAAATTAGCAATTGAGTTAGGAATTGAACTCTGGAGTTTATTGTTTGACAAATTTAGTAGTATGAGTGATTTTTGCTGGAATTGATTTATTTGACCTTGAAATTGGTTATGATTGAGTCGCAAGTCCACTAAAAAAGGTAGGGTGAAAATCCAAGGTGGCAACGTGCCATTAAGTAAGTTATAAGATAAGTCTAGATGGCTTAGTTTGGAAAACCTACTTGCATGAAAAGGAATGGGACCAGAAAACTGATTGAGTGAAAGGTAAAGAAAGGTAAGTTGTGTGAGATTTGCAAGTGATGATGGGATTTGTCCGCTAAGATTGTTTACCTCGAGGGTTAGATCAGTAAGTTGGGATAGGTTCCTATGGAAGCTGGAATGGAACCTTCCAAGTTCCAACCAAGTTGTAGAGACTGTAATGACTTTAGATCTCCTATAGACTCTGGCAATCGCCCTCTGCAGTCCATAAGACTTAAATACAAATTTTGGAGAGGACTGCTCCAATTGGAACTTGGAAGATCAATAGTGAGGTTTTCCTCTCCACTTAAACCAAATGTCTTGAGATTTGGAAAGCGGAAAATACTGTTTGGAAACTTTCCTCTTAACACACTCTCGGAAAGATCAAGAGTAGTCAAAGAAGAAGACAAATTCATGAAAAATCGAGGATTAACAGATGTCATGTTCACTCCACTAAGCACAAGTTCTCTCACCTCACTTAAGTTCTGAACAAGATTTCTCAAGGTAGTTGTTTCAAGGATCAATTTATGAGAAAACCCAACATAGATATCATTAGGATCAAGAGTGAACAATTCAGAGACATTGAGAGAAACTAACTTGGGGAGGTGAGCAATCTCTGCTGGAACTTGGCCGGAAAACCGAGAAGAAGAGATATCAAGATGCTTTAGTCTAGTAAACTGACTGATTTCTGGTGGAATCTTGGAAAGCCTAAAATCATTGAAGGCAAGATTGAGGCTCTGCAGGTTTTTGAGGAGAGAAAGAGTGCTGTTGGAAGGAAAGGTGCCAGAAAGGAGACTGCAGCTGAGATCAAGGGCGATTACATGACCTGTGACCTTATCACAGCTAACCCCATCCCAGGAACAGCAGTCGATACCTTCCTTCCAAGACTCAGTCTTAGAATAATTTGCTTTAATATCATAAAAATCCTCACATAAAGAAGGATTATAAACAGTTGAATCGATGGAAAAGGAAGTCTTGAATTGCAACAAAGCAGCAGCCTCCTCCTCAGAGCAGAGATGTGTTGTTGAGAAGGAAGAAGCATGTAAAGAGGATGAGAAGGCTGTTTTAAGACAGAGGAAGAAGAAAGGGAGGCAGAGTGTTGCACAGAGCATTGTGAAGAACCCCATATCTCTTTGTTTGGCATAATGGAGTACTCTAGAAGAGTATATATAGAGTGTTCCAACGCGTTCCAAATTGAGATGCACTAATAATCGAATATATTCCATAAAAAAAAAAAAAAAGAATACATATATATATATATATTTTTACAAAAATAATAGTTAGGGGTTAGGAGTTAAAAATTAAAAGTTAATATATTATTCTTTGATAAAGTTCGACCACTGATCGAAGTACAATCCACTGAGAGCCGATGAGCCCCAACAGGAATGCAAAAAAAAAAAAAATGAATATAAAATGTAATATTGAGTGGATGTCATTTTCAAATTTACTTTTCGGCTCCTCTTTTGTTCCTTACTTTGAAATTAGATGGAGTAATTAAGGGTTACAATCACATTATTAATATCAATTTAACTGAAAATTTGAATCTGAGGAAGAAGTTTTTGCCTTTGTCATGATATGACGTAAAAAAAGTATTTCTTTCATTTAAAAATTAGGATCAATAATTTAAAAAGATTATTTATTTACATTTCTTAATATAAATAACAAATATTAGTAGATAAATATTAATATTAAAAGATTATTTAATGTAATTTACAATCACTTGCTCTAAATGGAGTAAGCAAAGCATATATTGTAGCCATTTTCTGCCATTCTCATTCTTGACTTTATGTATTTGTTGATTTTCTACATTTTTATCTCCTAAAATGAATTTGAATGATTAGTAAAAAAGACCAAGGATGTATTCTATATATCAAAGAAAGAAAAGGTTATAAATAAAAGTTTTCAATAAATTAAATTTAGATCTATGCTATCATTATTATTATTTTAATTTGAGTCTAATTATGAGTCATGAATAGAAGATTAGCTAGTTTTCCACCAAATTTATAATCAATTAAATGAAAAAATATGTTCATCTTTAAAATCCTAAGTTTTACTTAGAAACTAAAGTCTATAACGAGCCAAAAATAAAAGACCCGTGCCATTGACTTTTGCAAATGTAACTCATGAGAAAATAACCTCCTTTAATTTTTCTGCATACATTGTTTGGATTTGATCTAACCAACAAGACAGAAGTTTTCACACTGACGAAAGACTTGATTGAGTCTTGGTCATGGTATTATGATCCGATTGAGTCTTGGTCATGGTATTATGATCCAAGTCTTCGTCAATGCCCTGGTGTTCAAGTTGTAAAACAGCTTCTTTTTTGCCCTTTTGAGGGTTTAAATGATATTAATTACACCATGCTTGTGATGGATAATGTTTATATATGAACTATTATTGTGATTAGAAATTGATGTATGTATAAATGCTTTCTATTAATTTTCAATTTCACTAGAAGTTTGCAAGCAACGAATAGATGAGACTCATGATATATTATTCCAAGAAAAATTGATGTGCTAAAATTTACTAATAAGTGTAATAGTTACTCAAGTAATAAAGTAATAAAATAATAAGAAAAATGTTGAATCTACAAAAATTATAATTAATTAATTACAAAATTAACTAATTCTAAAATTATTTAAACAAATAAAAAGAGAAGAATTTTTAATTAAAACTAATTAAAAAATAACAATTTAAAATAAAATTTACCAATATATGATATATTA